AAGGAATGAGTGGTCCCCATAAAGATATGATTACACGACTGTGTGTGTGTGTGTGTGTGTGTGTGTGAGAGAGAGAGAGAGAGAGAGAGAGAGAGAGAGAGAGAGAGAGAGAGTATGATGATTTAAAAAATTAAAATCTCTCGAACATGTCTCTTACAAAGGTCCTTTGAGGGGGTGGTCATTACACAGCGGCAAGGCAATCTGCTGCTTCCAGATACTGCTAATCTCGTTACGATCTGTTATTCAATAAGATTTAAAATTAGACTGTTTCAACTATTGCGGTTTTCTTAGACCATGTCCGGGAATACTTCCCATGAATTAAGATTTATATTTATCAAGATTAGTCCACATTAGGTTTAAATTAGCTTTTAATATAATTCGTTTAGATTTTCACGTTTTTCGAAGGTAGTGTTACATTATGTTCTCTCCCGCAGGCCCTGGCTCCGCTCCCGAAAAATCTCCCGTGCGTCTCCACTTCTGACATTTGCACCCTGCGCTATACGCCGCTACTTTAAAACCACATGCTCCCCGTCCCGAGCATGTCAGCTGGAAAAGTGTAATTTAAAACAATGATTGAGTTTTAACCTCTGTCTTAGGACACTTTTCCCATAATCTTGACACGTTTCCCTCTGCGATCATCGAATGTAGTTTTCTAAGGTGAAATATTTGGATAAGGTAGGTTTGGTGGTAGGTTTGGTGCCAGGTTGGTCTATTATTCTTACCTGAAACAAGAAAATGGGGCATAAATGTGGTGTATTTGTATTTGTATGTAAAACAGTTTGACGACATAAAAATCCTTAAACTCTGTACGTGAAGTCAATGGCAGTGGATTATTGTATTTGTTGTGGCGTTATACTTTGAAAATAAGTTAAACATTTTCCAGTATCTAGGATCCGGGACTAAATGGGTGGATAGATAGATGGATAAATGGATGGATGAAACACCACTTTTTCGTTCGATTATATATAAAATCTAGTTGGAGTGTATTAAAACTGTATATTTACTGCCCCCTACTGGCGTACGATCTTTACTACCAGCGTGGAACCACCATGGAGTGGTTTCATCACAAATTTCGATACATGAAAATGCCATTATTCCATAATTTGGAATAAATGGCTTTAAAGTTACCAATGTTTTATGCCTAACAAATGTCTTTAATTGAAATGCATAACATATTAACTAACATATAATGAAAGGCAATTTGGGACAGATTCCCTGATATTTCATGCTTGATTTTTGGTACTCTTAAAATATCTATTATTTTGACAAGCACGTTAGCATGACTGTTTTGTCACTTTAACTCCGCATAAAAGAATGAACATCATCTTCTTAAAGAAAACTTTCCATTTTATTAATACAGTAACCTTAAACTACAACATTCCACTAACATGTATTGAATATACATATAATTGAATGTTAACACGTATTTCACTACCCAGAAGTACAATGCATGAAATCTGAAGAAACTTGGTGGGACAGCAAACTAACAGACTAAAAATACTCTTTCCCCTCCTGCGCACCGGAATTTAGCGTCATGTAATCTACGGATGTGATGTCATCGTGGACACACGCCAGCCAATCAGCGCTTGCAGTGCAGAATTCGAAAATTAACGTGCGGAAGTGTTGTGTGTGGAGGGGTATGGTTGTCCATGGTTTCTTCACGATTAAACGTCTACGAGATTGCAGATAAACAAAAGGTAATGTAGTGTTTTGAGTGGTGTTTGGGCTTGAGGCTGTGAGCTTGTCTTGGAAAATTAAAGTATTGATTTAAGTGAATGTAAGTGGCGTGGTAATAAAACGGAGAGTTCGCACTTTTCTACTTATTTGGATGCAACGTGAAAGATCGCTGTATTTATTGCTCGGTAGAGACAATTCAGAATGGTTCCTTAGGAAAATACTGTCTTTAGGTTTATGGTCGTTAGTTCAAGTTGTAATCTGGTGTGATGGTTTGGTGTTAAGCCCAGTGAAACTGACAGTCGCTGTCTTTAGGTACACCACCATGCCGAGGGAGCGGGTAAACAAGAAGTCCTACCAGGAAAGTCTGCAGAACATCAAGGGAAAGATGAAAGAAAAAAGGAACAAGCGACTGTCCCTCGCTTGTGCAGCCAGCAGGGGCGTGTCCAAAATGAAAAACAAAATCGCCAGTGAGAACAACATTTTAACACCTAAGTTCTGTTTAGATAGTTTTCATTTATATTGGTTTTTGTGTCTATGCTATGGGTTTTACTTAAATTTCATGGATGGGTTAATAGTTGTTCAATATTTTTTCAGGTAACAACCAAACTATACTAAAAAACGTCCAATCCAACAACAAGGCTCTGGCTTTGGCACTCCAGGCAGAGAAGGAGAAGGTGCGACAGGCCCACATCATCATTTTGCAGATGAAGAAGGAACAACAGGCATTAATGCTCCACATCCTGCTAATGAAGAAGAAGCTGAAAGACTATGAAGCTCTAACCAATGCGCGTGTGAGTTTTACCTAAGAGCCCTCATGTAAATTAACAAGCATCACATTTAGAATAGAATCTTCCTCAGGACTGAAATGACATTAAGTCCGATGTTAGCTCTTCATTCTGATTTACAATCAGTGGTGTTTTTATTATAACTTGCATGAGAAACATCATAGATTGTTTGTTTGGTTTAGTACTTCTTCGTTGGACCACAATGAGAATTAATCATGCCTCAGAATATAGTGATTCTGGGCAGGCAGTTCCCGTTTAAACACAAAATGCATTGACGTGCTTCTCTCTCCATTGTAGGGTTTAACCACAGAGGTCTCTCTGGGTCATCCTCTCTCTCTTCACTCCCTAGCCAGGTAAGATGCGCCAGACTATGGAGACCGTCTACACTGTCCCCTTCTCCCACTCGTTTGCAAGCTTTTTTTAAGTATTAGAACATTTTTGATTTCTAAAATAAAGCATGAATTTCCTGTGTCTGTTAGTACAAAGGTTGATAAAACACAATGTGTGTGTTTGTCAGGAGTATTCCGAATTGTGACAGCAAAGACCCAATAGACCCGCGGGAGCCTTTGAAGAAAGGTATGTCCTCCATGAAAATGTAGAAACAGAAGCCCGTTTACATTTATTTTATTTAGCAGATGCTTTTACCTGAAGTGACGTACGTTTTTGAGAATGGATGGTCTTGAGATTGGTGACCTTCTGTTTGTCCTAATCCGCTGAGCCATACACATGAGATCATGCATGCATATACAGCTCAGGTTAAAATTGAGACCACAGCAAAAATTTTCAGTTATATTTCTCAATTTATGCATATGCATCCGTGTAAATTCTATTTTTTTTTTTTTTGCAAACTCTGGCTCTTCGTTCCTTCTAATTGATGAAGGGCTTCTTCCTTGCTTTATGGGACTTCAGTCCTGCTTCGAGGAGCCTGTTATGAACTGTCCTAGCAGTGCACTTCACACCACTTAATGTTTCCCATTCTTTTTGAAGGTCACATAAGGTCATCCTCCGATTTATGAGGCACTGCTGGATAAGTTGACGGTCATCTCTGGCATTAGAAAATTCTGTCACCCTCTATCTGGCTGGTTTTTGGTCATTGCCGGTGTCTCCTGCTTCACCTTTGTCTTGTATACTGCTGTCTTAGAAACCTTAAGCAGCATGCAGTGTAGCCTTCTGCCAGCAGAACCAGGATTTAAAAATGTGGATTAAGAAAAAAAGAGGGGTCTAATTTTTTCCCCAGAACTGTGTTTGTATTTTTTTCCTTTAGATGCATCTCCCAATCCAGGCAGTCTCATCAGTACTGCTTGCGGTGACCAGGCCATGTTGCCGAGGACGGTGACATCACGGCGACGGCGGCCCGAGATCAGAAGTTCCGTTCGAAGACAGTCGCTGCATGAGCAAAACATCCCGGTGTTGTCGGATTCTCCTGTGCTGAAAGAGAATGGGAATGCGGATTTGGACAAGAAGCCAGCAGAGGCTGCAGCCCCACAAGTGCCCGTGGAGGATCTGGATGCCTTCTCCATGGAGGTGAGGGCAGCTGAGCAATCTACACCCAAGGCCCCCACCCGGGCTTGCCAGGACCCACAGAAGAAGCAGCAGGCGGGGCCCAAAAGCAGGCCGGAGAGAGGGCGGAAACCAGACCGAGTGCCACTGAAGAAGCCCTGGGAGAGCAGCAAATCCAGGGCCCGGTCCAAGAGCCGGGATCGGTCCAACACGAGGCGGAAGCCAACCCCTGCCGAGAAGCTTAATGTGTCCCTGGGTGGAAACGACACTTTTGACTTTGACTGTGAGGAGAGCGTACACGTGACACCCTTCAGGGCTGCAGGCAAAGCTGCGGATGAGAACGGCCCGGAGACGCCCATCCGGCTGGGACCCACTGTGCCGGAGGAGGATGGGGTGCCTTCCAAGCTCACCAGCCCGGCTCCAGTCCGCCCAGCTTCTTGGGACGCCTCGGACCCGGAGTCTAGCTCATCTGAGGATCAGGACGACAGCTTGTACGTGCCACGCAAGAGGACCAGGCATCCTGCCGGGGCTGGGAGGGACAGAGCCCAGAGTCCGGCGCGGAGAGCCAGGTCCAAGAGGAGGTCTGCTGTGCTGCCGAGGGCACTGGGGAAGGAGAACGTCTCACCAAACCGGCTCCAGGCTCTGGGTAACTTTCCAAATAACGAGAAGGTGCATAAGGACACTTCTTCTCTTTCTAATCTTTCGCCTGACCCTTGCCTTGGTTGTTTTCCAGCTCGTAAAAGTGAAAAACAAAGGATTTTCCAAGCTGTGCCCTGTGATGTATTAGCTGTTCCTGCGTTTGACCCCTCGGAGGTGTCCTTCCAAACTGCAGGTCTTCAGCCTGCGGAGCAGGTGGAGGACAACCTCTCCGGTAAGTCCTGGTGGACGGAACGGCCGGCTCGATGTTCTCCCATGAATGCATCACAGTGTTGCCATACTTAACACAATGAATATTGGCCTGAGAAGATTCAGCGAGAAAGCACTGTGTTCACAATGCATCCGGTGAGCACACCACAGACTGTCAGGATCTCTGAATAAGACCTTTATTCAGGAAACAGTGATGCTGTTTAACAAAATGTCTGTGGAATTCACCTCAATGCAATCACATTGCTCTGATTTACGTACTTGGCTGTCCTGAATGACTTGGCTGTTATTTATTCTTGAGAAAGTGTGTGAGTTTATGCATGACCATGATGAACTCCTAATAGACAGTCTTCAAATCAACAGCCAAATCTCTGTGTTGGTCATTAGAGCTCTTATCTTGCTTCAGCAATTCACCTGAACCTCCCGCTATATAGTTCTGCTTTCCTTTACTAAATCCATATTAAAATTGGCTGTAGCACTGAGTGTTTTTTGGCCTGTCAGCATGCAGAGGCGAGGAGAACACGGAGGCTCTGATCCCCGATGTGCCAGCCGTCGGGGAGGCTGTTCTTCATGAAGATGGTCCCCTCTGCGCGTTCACTGACCAGGCTACCGCCTCCCCGGGACTCGAGAACTGTATCCCAGAGACAATGCGGAAGAAGATCAGAAAAAGTAGGGTCACTTTGGGGCTGGATACCGCAGCAGGGGTGGGGAACCTGATCCATGGAGAGCCGGTGTGGGTTTCTGGGATGATCTTTCAATCAGCCAATAAGAAAGCAGTGGTTATCCACTCAAGTCTTGGGGATCCACTCTTACTGGCTGACTGAGCGGCCATCCCAAACACCACAGCGGCTCTTCATGGATCAGCTTCCCCACCCCTGCCTTGCACTCACAATACCCTATAACCAGTATAACTCATTTTTATTTTAGATTGTTGCACTCTTTGTTTGACATCTCTGTACCGAGTGTATTTTTAAATAATCGCATTCGTTTGCTGTGTAGTGCATTGTTATGAAATCATGTATCAGCAAAATGCAATTAGACCTTAACTGCTGTACAAAGACGAAACATGGTAACTGGGTATTTTATCAAGATTGAGATGACTGAACTCTGGTCTCATGCTCTTATCATATGAGAAAATATCGTAATATATGTGCATTTATGGCAAAAACATAACATTATTTACCTACCTGCTACACATACGGGTGGGCAGACTAAAAACTTTGAAGCCCTTTGTTTAGTTTGTGTCTGTGCAGTTACCCGTTTGGACAGTACAGAACATAAACCTTTCATTCCATAACCGTGAGCCCTTCGCCATATCCCACCCAGGCAGGCTGTGGGTCCGAGCCAGCTGCAGGATGAGCCCGTGTGACGTGACAAATCTCTCTTCTGCAGCCTTCCGAAAGACCTCAGCCGGTAGGCCACGCCCCTCCAGCACAGACTCCACCCCTGTGCTGGCCCGTAAGCGTCGCTGCACCATCACCGTGGACTACAAAGAGCCCACGCTCAGTGCGTGAGTACCCCCCCCCCATATATACAGCATTCATTGACTGTGGCTATAGGAATTCCAAGCAATTTCTATTCCAGTTACTCATTGATGGTGACCTCCTTTCATGTTCACAATGGATGGAATGTTTCAAGTTGGCAAATGTCTGCGCTTTATTAAAAATGTAATCATTCAGAATGCTAATCTCAAACACTTGACCCTAACACATAAATACTTCAGCAGTTTTTATACTTCAGCAGTTTTTTCTTGTCGTGCCAGACGTTCATATCTCCCTTTAAATGCCACGCGCCGGCTCGTCTTCCGGCATGATTTCTGCAGCGTCCTGCTCATCCACCCGTCTGCTTCCTGTTCCTTCGCAGGAAGCTTCGCCGAGGAGACCGGTTTACGGACACCAAATTCCTGCGCTCGCCCATATTCAAGCAGAAGTCCAGGAGGTCGCTGAAGAAACAACCGAAGCTGGAGAAGTACAACGAATCCTTTGTTGGTTGTCGCTGAAAGGAAAATGGACTTGGAGTTCTTAGAGTAATCCCACTCTGTGGCTACCATTCGATTCTTCAGTCCACCGTATTTGGCTTACAGTCAGCAGTGGACCTCCTCCTCTTTTCTTTTTAGAACCGTGACCTCAGAAACCCATTAAGATCCCTGTCTGGACTGGAGCAGGTTGAGTGAGAACCTTGTTACAATTACCATTCTTAAACACACCTTTCAGTGTATCTGTTATGCCTGCCGTTGTGATGCACAGTAATTTGTGTTTGGTAAAATCTAAATTCTGCAGTGCTGACTGGGTCATGTGGCGCCTTGCTGCATGAGATCTCGAGCCCTTTTTGGGTTCAGGAGAGCATGAGTGTTTGGTCTGTTCTGCACCAAACCAATGTAGAGCACATGCAGTCTCCTCTAAGTAGGCCAGCTTCTTATTTTCTGAAATCAAGTTACCTGTAACTAGGTAACAGATAAATTGATTCATAGCCATGTTTTACTTTGGTTCTTAAATGATCAGTGCTTTTTTAATTTCTGTTTTTAACAGAGTTATTTCGGAGCTTTTTAATTAAAGAAATTTTACGGTGCCATCTTTTATATAGTCTTCACACATAAATTCTATGTGTCTTTAAAAGACTATTTAGGCGTTCTGGGTGAAGTTTTAGCGTATACATTTAGAAAAGTATGTTATACCGTCAGCAATGTGAAAGCTGTATAATATTTTGACATGAATTAAAACCAGTACACAGTCTTTTCCAATGCATTTCACTATTTTAATCATTCTATAAAATATGCTATATCTTTTTAAAAGCAAATGTAGAAAGGTCTTAAAATATTTTTTTCTCACGTTACAAAAATCCAGATCTTTCTAAATATTTAAAAATACAAACATACAAAACAACGAAACTACTTGTTATTGCACAATCTTTCATAAACAAAGGTATCAATAGTCATCTGCGGTATAGACCTTAAGACAATAAATTAAGACCTTTTCTTCAACGTTGCACTGATAACCCTTGAAAATTACATCACATTGGACAGTAATCATACTCTACATAAATTAGCAGTAAGCGTGCATCATTATTCATTCTCATGGAGCATGGTTAAGAAACGCTCTTTCACATCTGTTGCATATTTGCTGTTGCGATAAATAAATGCTTTCTGCCCGACAGACTGGCGACGCTTTTAGTGAAAAACGGTTGTGAGTCTCAAAAAGCAATTTCCACCTGTTGGCTGAAAACAGAACCAAAAATCGAATTTGAACAGAACAGAGTTGACAATCCAACCAGGTGTAATGAAAAATATGTCTTTTCATTTTTGGCAGGTGGGACCCTCAGATACACATACTCGCACGCACGCACACCTGCGACCTTTGACCTGTACACACCGAGGGACAGCGAAACACAAACCCCATAAAGCCATGCACTCACATTACACTATAGAAACCTCAACTCCCATGTCTGGATTACTGTGGACAGTCTTATTTCTTGATAATTGTACCAAGGCTATTTATAGGTCCGCAAGAGTTGGGTCTAGAGTCCTCATCCACATCAGTGATTTAATTTTTGTCATAAAATTTTCTGCTTATCGTGTTTTCCTGAGTTAACAGAGGGAAAATTATGCACCTTAAATCTCCTACCTTCCCAGTGGATCAGCGATCTTGATTCCCAGGATGCTACAAGAAAGCACTGGGGGGGTGGGGTGGGGTTACCGAGGGATTACCAGGGATCCCCGGTCCGTTACTTCTCAATCAGGCCTGCCTCCTTGATCTTGTTGTAGAAGAACTTCTCCAGAAGGTTGGCGCACTTGTAGTATTCGCTCTCTGGCGGGTTGTACTCGCGGCAGTTGGTGAAGATGCGCTGCATGTCTGCCATGAACAGCTTCTTCGTAGTGTAGTATCTGCTCTTCAGACGCTCACTCATGGTCTTCAGGTCTGGACAGAAAAAGGTGAGGTCATGGGTCTGGCTCACACTGGATCTGACCGAGTATTTTTCAGCCACTGGCACTGCACATAAACACTCCATGCTGGTCTCAGCTGCCATAGTTGAAGTGCAGTACAACACAAACAACCTAGCTAATTAAAAACAAGAAAACTGAGCCGTCACAAGAAAATGCAAGAGCGAACATCTGTTTTGCTGCTGCGGAGTGCAGAAGTTTCCTACAAGCCTGTCAAGCCTCAGTCTTCAGTAGCTTAAGGACACACAGCTCATTATACTTTCAGATATGTACTTTTCAAACTTTTAGTTTTTTGTAGTAAGGGAAATATGTTTAGTTATGGCTCTTTAATAAGTTTTAGGGTAAATACTGGTGAAGTGGGACAAAGGGGACATGGATGTATATTTTTTACTCTACATCTTTACGCCTCTGTGATCTATTAACCTCAACTTTCAATAATACCATTTCTTCCTTGCATACTTTTGGTTTTGGTATGAAAGCTAAAATAATATTATTGGTGTGTTTCAACTGCGGTTTTACAGACGGATATGTTGCCAAACTCAAACTATGTCATGCTGACCTTTTGTCTAACAGCAGATTTAAAAAAAAATTGCTGCCATTTATTTATTTATGCCAAAGATTTTTTGTTTTTTATTTTAAAGTCACTTTCATCCTCCATAATTAGGAACATTTTAAAAGAGAAAGTAAAAATCCACAGGAAAAACTGATCATTAATTTGAGTACTCATAAAGTGACTGAGTAGTACTCGTTTGTTATGTACATACCCATGGGGAAGCGGATCACCTGGTAGTACCCTGGAGCCTCTGTTTTCTTGACTGGTTCCATGAAAGGCCAGGCATTCTGGTGGTTCTGTTCAAAACAAAGAGCCGTGTTGCAACAAGTCCATTTTTTGTTTGTCATATCCATCAGACACCTTTAAGCAGCCGTGTTAATCAAATTTAACCCGGTAATTCTCATAAAACCATGGCACTGCAGGGAAAAATGCAGAAATAATAAGCAATAAAAATGTATAATTATAATGACAGAACAAATAAAAAGGTTGAGTCGGTGTAATTATTCAGACAATAATGACTGGCTGCCTACTAATTTATGTACTTTATGGGCTGATAAGGTACATGACATAAGGGTACATGCATTACCCATAAGGTACATGACATAAGGGTACATGCATTACCCATAAGGTACATGACATAAGGGTACATGCATTACCCATAAGGTTTTCTGTCTAAGAGCATGTACCAATGCATCACATGTTGTGTATGCAAACGGCCCAGCAAAACATCACAGCTAAGAATGCCGATGGCCAATTAAAGTCTCTTACTGACAAATCCCACTAATGAGTGACAGCATTTTGTTTTATCATCATGATCCTTCATGAGCGACATGATTTATAATAGAAAATGGGCCAGTGTGTCCAGCTGCCTCATAGCTGTATATCTATGTCTGTCGGTCTGTCTGTTCCCCGTCTGTCTGTTGTGTGTTAGTACTGTGGCCCATCCTGCACGCCTGGCCTTCCGTCAGTGTCCGTCTTCTCCTAACCTTCACATGCTGCAGAATGTTCTTCAAAGTGCCGTACAGCTGATCTGGGTCCTTCACTTCCTTCCTGAATGAAGAAGCAGCATTAAAACATTAAAAATTGACATCAAAGTCCTACTGCAGCAAATGCGTCATTCATTTTAATAAAGAATTGAATATTAAAATAATACCAGAGGTGGGGATTTCAGGTCCAGAGAGTACAAAGATCTTGTTTCACCCAACCCGTTGAGTATAAAGAGTCACAGTCACAGAGGACTCAACTGGTTGGTTGAAACAAAATGTTAGTCTGGATTTGTACTCTCTGGACCTGAAATCCCCACCTCTGAATACTACATTGCGCTGTAATGATATGCTGCTCTTTTCATCTCGGCCTGTGTGGATCAGTGCTCCTGTGTGTGTTCTGTGCGTGAGGCTTGATAACTGGACGGCCGCTGAATCCCAGCAGTCGCTCGAAGGACAGACTCACCCTTTTCCCGTGGGCTTCCAGCCGGTTTCACCTGCGAAGAGACCACACCGGGTCGGCACACCGTCACATGCCCGGCATTCCGCCAGATCCACCCCCCCTCCACCATAAATCCGCACCATATTGCCAGCGGAGTTCAGCTTGAGCCAGTGTGAATGTTCATGATACTAAATACAAGGCAAACCTTAATCTGGGGGGGGATTTTCATCCCACTGCAGTATTCTAAGTCTCTGCACTTCAATCATGGGTACCCAAACACCCAACACAAGTACGGGGTCATTTAAAACTAACTTTATTACATCACCAACCTCTACTGCACCACTTCACTTTGTATTTCAAAATAAAAGTCTGCAAAATTGCAAAATCTAGTAGCCACATGCATTATGATTATGAACTGAAAAAGTCCACCACAATGTAACTGCATTTCCATTGGGCTGCACTAATATGCCAATATGCTAATAAGGCCCAGAGGCTGCATGTACTGCTCTGGTTCTGCTATGGCTGAAAAGGGCCACATGGCCAATTATGTGATGTGGTGTGATGTGATGTGATGTGACATGACGTGCTGATACTTGGATGCCAAGTGTGATGGAGTGTCACTGAAGAAGCCTTACGTATTCCAGGAATGCTCTCTATCGGAATCTGCCGGACGCCCTCCTTAAAACAGGAAAGCCCAGGGTACACCTTTCGGATCTGTGCCTGCTTGCGCTCAATCAGCTTCTTGATGATCTGCAGAAGATGGATTAAAAGGACTGGGAGAATGGCGAGTCTAGCGCAAGAGGCTAACAATTACAGTGCTACAGAAGTCACCCTTTGCCCTGCTATGATTTATCACCCCCCAAGGGCACCAACCAAAAGCTTCGATTCTGCAAGGCCTTATTTATGCACAGGGCATGTACAATAATTTGCCCTCTGGGAAAGTGCTTCCTTGGACAGTGGAATTTCATATTCAAAGAAACCCATGAGCTGGATCTCACTCTGGCCCAGAGGCACCCCCCCTTCACACTACCTCCTTCTGCTTCTTGATGATGACAGAGAACTCCGTGTAAGGGATGCTGGGGTTGAGCTCACACCCCATCAGAGTGGCCCCCTCGTAGTCCTTGATATAACCCACATACTTTGCTTTGGGCACTTTGATGTCTTTAGAGAAGCCCTGGGGGAGAGATAATTGCATGCAGGAAATGTACAATTTGAGCTTTTATTCATTCTACATATCATTTACACCATCACCTCTTTCATGTTTCATTAAATTACAACTCTGCCAATAACAGATTTTAATACATTTGCTTTCATGTCATGTATTTCATATATATTAGCATAAATCACTTGTCATAAATATTAATGTGCCAGGACCCTATAAATAATAAAATTCCAGTTACATATTTGCTGATAATATGTGCCCCACACTGTTCTATGAGACCTAATGTGTTTTCTGAGCTGCATTAAAGTATGAGGCTAGCCCAGCCCTGACCTGCTTCTTGAAGTAGCCGATAGCGTACTCGTCTGCGTAGGTGAGGAAATTGAGGATCTCGTGTTTGATGTGATATTCCTTCAGGTGGTTCATCAGATGAGTGCCGTAACCCTGCAGGAGACGGAGAAACAACTCTTTGTAAATCGTGCAACAATTTGTTTTTTAAAGCACATTCGACAAGTGAAGACAAGATTAGGGTACATTTTATTACAAATATTATAAATAAATGTTTTTATTTAGCCCACGTAACATTGTGGACGATTCTTAGCATCACCACTGCTGCTGATTGCAGGTGGACAGCCTGCTATTAAAATTATGTGTAAAA